CTGTTAAAACATCTAACTTGGCTTTCTACCAGTTAAAGTGGTCAATTTGTTAAAACATCTAACTTGGCTTTCTACCAGTTAAAGTGATCAATCTGTTAAAACATCTTACTTGGCTTTCTACCAGTTAAAGTGATCAATCTGTTAAAATATCTAACTTGGCTTTCTACCAGTTAAAGTGATCAATCTGTTAAAACATCTAACTTGGCTTTCTACCAGTTAAAGTGATCAATCTGTTAAAACATCTTACTTGGCTTTCTGCTTGTTAAGGTGGTCAATCTGTTCACTTAGCTCGGCTATTGTGTCGTTATTTTTCTTCCTGAGGTTTGAGAGTACTTGTTCATGCTGAATACTGGACTCTTCGAGATCACGCTTCAATTTGGCCAGCTCAGCTTCCCGCTTTTTGTTCAGCTCGATCTGTTAAGAGATTGAAAACTTTGTAATGTGCCAAAGTAGATGTTAGTAACTATTTTATTGTGAGCTGGTCATCAACTTTCTATCATAAACAAGAAAACGTTTAAACATCTTTAAATATAAAATATTAGGATTAAAGACACCGATTTCAGTTAAAATAACTGAATTATACACAGTTTTAAAAATAAAAATATTTACAATCTACCTGAGAAGAGGTGGCGCCACCAGCTTCGTCCAACCGCTCACTTAGTTCCTCAAGTTCCCGACTGAGGTCAGCCCTCTGTTTTTCAGCCTATATAGATAAATAAATAAATAAATATATATATATATATATATATATACACACCCAGTAGTGAATAAAATGTACATTTTTGATGTTTAAGTCGGAAAAGTCATATTAAGTATTTGGGTTAAATATACGTTGTGTTTGATAATTACCTTGGCCCTGGCTTGTCTCTCGGCCTCGAGTTCTTCTTCGAGCTCTTCTATCCTTGCCTGTTAAACAAAACAAGAAAAAAAATGTTTAAAAACACAAACGGTGTTGATGGTTTTCTGAAATATGTTCAGCATGATCATATCTTGTGGCATTTTTTGTGCTAGAATATACTTTCATGGTGATGTCTTGTGAATTTGAAACACTTATTTTCTTGATTTTTAACAAAATTACGAGTTTTAATCTCGTCTCTAATAATAACAGTAACAAAAAACAACGCCAGATGGCGATGATAACCATCAATACGGATTACACACTTTTCAATTTTTCTGTTGTTCGCTATTTGATAGTTTTTTAGTGTTAGCGATGTTTCAGTAAGGCAGACTGCTTAATTACCGATTTAGTAACAAGTCCAAAATTCAATAAACATATTTGACCTTCACAGGAAACTTTAAAACACGCTATGAAAATCTGTTCTGGGCTATTTTCACTAGAAACAGACAAAAGACTATAAGGAGAACGGCTGGTAGATTTTGTCTAGGATAAAAGCAGACAAAAGACTATAAGAAGAACGGCTGGTAGCTTTTTGTCTAGGATAAAAGCAGACAAAAGACTATAAGAAGAACGGCTGGTAGCTTTTTGTCTAGGATAAAAACAGACAAAAGACTATAAGAAGAACGGCTGGTAGC